TTTTAAGTCGACTCAAAAGTCATCTGAGGCACATCCCGCCTGTCCCATTTGACTTTTAAGTCGACTCAAAAGTCATCTGAGGCACATCCCGCCTGTCCCATTTGACTTTTGAGTCGACTCAAAAGTCATCTGAGGCACATCCCGCCTGTCCCATTTGACTTTTGAGTCGACTCAAAAGTCATCTGAGGCACATCCCGCCTGTCCCATTTGCCTGTCTCCCCCCCGCCTTCTTTGCCTCACTCCCCTTTCCCCCATTGTTTTCTCCCTTCCCTCACTCCCCGTCCACAAGTATTTCGTGGAGGCGGGCGCCATTGCAGTGCGGCGAGTCAAGAAGGACGACCTGAGGCACACACCCCCCCCCCCTCCCCTTTGTCTCACTCCCGCCCACCCTATCCTTCCCTCCCTTCCTGTCCCTCATCTTCCAGTATTTCGTGGAGGCGGGCGCCATTGCAGTGCGGCGAGTCAAGAAGGACGACCTGAGGCACATTGCCAAGGCGTCTGGTGCTACCATGGTGAGACTAGGGGGGCGGGGCGAGGGGGGGAGGGCGGGTGAGTGGGCTTGGCGTGGGGTTGATAACCTGACTGCTAGGAGGCGGTAGGAATGAGGGTGAAGGGGGACGACCTGAGGCACATTGCCAAGGCGTCTGGCGCCACTATGGTGAGACAAGTGGGGCGAGGGGGAGGTGAGGCGTGCAATGGGGACGAGGGGGGCGTGGGGGGAAGAGGGCTTGTGAGTGCGCTTGGTGTGGGCGACACAAAAAGCGGTCAGCGTCAACGAATGGGTCTACTTTTGTCTTGCTCCTCCTCATCATGCATCGCTCAGTTGCCCCTCTCTTCACCTCTCGTGTTCTCCCCGCCACCAGCCTCCTCTCAGATGCTCACGTCTGCAGGCATGGAAGGGGGATGGATACGTTTGACGCGTCCCTGTTGGGACAGGCAGAGCAGAGGAGGTGTACGCGGAGTGTTGTCTAGCAGAAACACATAATACCCTCCGATGTTGTCAGACGCAGACATAACAACCTCGCTGTATGCGGAGTTTTATCTAGCAAAAACACATAATACCCTCTGATGTTTCCCCTCCTTCTCCCCCTCTCCTCTCAGATGCTCACGTTCGCGGACATGGAAGGGGGGGAGACGTTTGATGCGTCCATGTTGGGACAAGCGGAGGAGGTGTATGAGGAGCGCGTGGCAGACGACAACATTCTGATCTTCAAGGGCTTTAAGGCCGCCAAGGCGGTGAGTGGGTGGAGCATGGGCAGGAGGGCACGGCAATAGGGGGCTTAGGGGGCAAAAGGAATGGGCAGAGGGGCTATAGGGCTATAGGGGCGAGAGGGCAAGGCAGAGGAGGTGCATGAGGAGCGCGTGGCGGATGACAACATCTTGATCTTCAAGGGCTTTAAGGCCGCCAAGGCGGTGTGTGGGTGGAGCATGGGCAGGAGGGCATGGCAACAGGGGGCTTAGGGGGCAAAAGGAATCGGCAGAGGGGCTATAGGGCTATAGGGGCGAGAGGGCAAGGCAGAGGAGAAGCATAAGGAGCGCGTGACGGATGACAACATTCTCATCTTCAAGGGCTTTAAGGCTGCTAAGGTGGTGAGAGCAGGAGGGCACGACACTAGGGGGTTATAGGGGTAAGAGGGCAAGGCAGAGGAGAGAAGCATGAGGAGCGCTTGGCGGATGACACCATTCTCATCTTCAACTGTCCCATCTCTCCCAATCTCCTCCGTCCCTCACTTAACCTGTCCCTCATATACCGCAGGCAACTCTCCTCCTCCGTGGTGCCAACGACTACATGCTAGATGAGATGGACCTCTCCCTTCACGACGCCATCTGCATTGTCAAGACTCGCACTGTCCCATCTCTCTGAATCTCCCGCTGTCCCTTGTGTGCCCTGTCATGTCCATACCACAGGCCACCCTGCTCCTCCGTGGCGTCAACGACTACATGCTGGACGAGATGGATCGTTCCCTTCACGACGCCATCTGCATTACCAACCTGGAATCCCACTCTCTCTCCCTTGACCTGTACCACACTTCCAGGCCACCCTGCTCCTCCGTGGAGCCAACGACTACATGCTGGACGAGATGGATCGTTCCCTCCATGATGCAATCTGCATTGTCAAGCGCACACTCGAGTCCAACTCCGTGGTAGCAGGGGGGGGCGCGGTGGAGGCGGCGCTGTCAGTGCACCTGGAGAACCTCGCCACAACCCTTGGGTCCCGGGAGCAGCTAGCCATAGCCGAGTTTGCAGAGGCCCTGCTTGTCATTCCCAAGGTGAGAAGGCCTTCCTGCCCAACTCTGTGGTAGCGGGGGGATGCGCGGTGGAGGCAGCCCTGTCAGTGCACCTGGAGAACCTCGCCACAACCCTTGGGTCCCGGGAGCAGCTGGCGATTGCCGAGTTTGCAGAGGCTCTGCTCGTCATTCCCAAGGTGTGTGTGTCCCTCTCGTGCGCCTAAGGTGTGCCCTGTTCAATGCCTAGGGATGCCACAGATCTGGTGCGAAGCTGAGGGAGTACCACCACATGTCGATGGGTTTTAACCCCGAGCCCCTTCCTCCCAATGCCTCTCCACCCGTTGTTGCTCGCTGTGCTGCTGCAGGTGCTGGCGGTGAATGCTGCCAAGGATGCCACAGATCTTGTGGCGAAGCTGAGGGCGTACCACCACATGTCGCAGACTAAAAGCGACAAGCAGCACTTGGCAGAGTGAGTTTGGGGTGGGGTTGAGTTGACCGAAGATTCACAAGAGACTCTGTATCCAAATGAGTGCGGCTTACCCCTTTTTTCAGTCTACTTGAATAGTGAGTATCACCGTGCTAGTACATACATATCAGTCACTTTGACCACCACGAGTGCCGCTTACCCCATGCCATATTTGTCTTACATCGAGTCATTGTCTCATATTTATCTTACCACATGCTATTGTTGCCATTTCCCCTCCCCCTTGTGTCCTGTGAGGCAGGTACGGTTTGGACCTAGTGAACGGTGTGTTGAGGAACAACGTGGAGGCAGGAGTGCTGGAGCCAGCGATGAGCAAAACCAAGATTCTTCAGGTAAGAGGGCTGTGTTGCTTTGATCTGATACCCATCAGGTACGGTGTGGATCTGGTTTGGTGAGCGGCACTCTGAGGAACAACGTGGAGGCAGGCGTGCTGGAGCCAGCAATGAGCAAAACCAAGATCCGGCAGGCAATAAGGCATCTTTGTGTATCAACCGCGGAGCCACGTTCTTGTGTGCCGCAGCAGCAACCGCTTGTATTCAATGGGTGTGGTTTGGACCTGGTGAGTGGTGTTCTGAGCTGGGGGACAGCTTGGCGGCAGGCGTGCTGTAGCCAGCAATTAGCAAAACCGAGATCCTATGGGTGAAAGCATGCTGAGACTCTGTCACCGCACCGCACATTCCCCTCGACAGTGCATGGCGTTTCCTGCTGAGTAATCCTGTGACATCCTCCCCGGCATGTTTGCTGTGTCCTCATTTACTCTCGCTGCAGTTTGCCACTGAAGCCGCCATCACCATTCTCAGGATCGACGACATGATTCGGCTGGCCAAGGCCCAAGACGGGCCTGAGGAGTGACGAGCGTGAACGTTAAATGAATACCACCACGTACACACACGTTGGGGCGCCGCAGGAGTCGTAAAAACAGGTACCATTGCATACATACACGCTATCACTTGGGTTGGGTATGCTAGCACATGGGTTGGAATGGGAGCCATCGTGCTCAGTGCAGAATTTGTGACCAAAGCTGCCATGCCATCACCATTGAAAGGATAGATGACACGATTCAGATGGCTCGGCCCTAGATGGTTTGAATAATGATGAGGGATTGGGTACCTCGCAAATGCATGTACTTTTCGTTGTGTGGAGATCTTAGTGCACACTTATCATTAAAATCCTCAGCTTATTCAAAGAACACAAATTATATTGAGATTAGCGAAATTGAGTAGGAAAGTTACACCCGATGTGAGCTTTCAGTCTGCGAAAGCGGGATTCGGTTTCTGCGAACACGCTGCCATATGCCATTGGCTGACTTCAACCAAACCATCCTCGGGAGGACGAGTTTGGTCTTGCTTCTTGTAGCGAAAGCTACACTTGGCAAATCTACTCGAACCGCTCAGGCTACAAGCACTGTGGAAGTCACACACCGCCCATTCCTGCTTTTTTGGACCAAAGCGCTGGGCGATGTTGACATATCGAATGGTGGCTACTGGGCCCAAAAGTTTTTGTTACGGGACGGGATGTTTCCCGAATGAATTAATGAATTGTCGTACTTTCCTAGAACTGGTAAGTTCTTGCTGCAGAACCTTCACGCAGTAGTGAATGCAACGTGTAAATTTGGGGGTTCTCACTCGATTTGCCCTCACGCGCCCCGTAGTCCTGATCGCGGAGGGGCAATCAGCCCCTCTGCGCTCCGTGACAGCCAATGGTTGGGCTGAACACTTCGCGCTTCGATTTCTCCATCCATCGAATCGAGCCGCGTTAAGCTGACCTGCGTGCGTGCCACAGTTACCTTCGCCCCTCATTGCAATGACTCACTGCAAGCCCTCACGGCGCTCACCCCCGACCCGACCTGACCTGACGCCCTACCTCTCGGTGCTTACATAAATATGTGTATCAAATTACAATCAACCATCAGTTGAACCACCATCAGCTATCAGTTCTGTTTACATCTCACCTCCATGATTCAATCGGTCCTTCTAAAGTACTGCTGAGGCAGCCGCACCCAGACATTTCCATTTCCTGCGAGTAGTCCGTGGACTCTTCGTGATCTCTTTCTCTTCGCGAAAATGGAGATTGGTTGGGTGAAACGCGCGGCCATATGGACATTTGCCGGACTAGGCCTCGCGCTGGCCGTAATCTCCTGCTGCGAGATGGCCGATAACTATCTCGTCCTTTCCCACCCTGACGCCTGCATCGCTTCATCGAACGGAACCCACTGCGCGGCGGAGTTCCGCGTGGCGCGGAGATCCCTAGGTGTCGTGCCGCAGACGCCGGAGCAAGTCACCGCAGCCATGATCGCAATGGTACAAGCGCAAGTCGCAGCGCTAATCGAGGCGGCCGAGGAAATTAAGACAAACAACGTGGAGGAGGATCATTTTACGAATGCAATGGCGAGGAGCTGCGCGCGGCAAGCCACCATCGCGCTGCGCTACCTGGGACAGGCGGGGGATGCGGTCGAGGCGGGCACGAATCAGCGTGACGTGCCGTACTGGTTGGCGGCCGCCGATACGCAGATCGACAACTGTGTTGACGGTTTCCAAACGTTCTCACCCGCGGCGCAAGGCTTCCCCGCCTACGTACACCTCGAGGTTCGTTACAAATTATTGAATATAAAGAACTCGGCTGCATTGTTCGCATGTGTCGTTTTTTCGCGCCGAGGCTTTCACACTCCTTTACCACCGAGATAGCTTCTTCTGAAACCCGGTTCCCCCTTCTCCCTCTCCCCCCACGTCCCCATTTGTCCTCCGCAGTATACGGCTAAGAAGGCGGGAAGCACGCTTGAAGCACTCGTGTCCATCACCAACGCCGCAGCTAAAGCTGCCCCATCCGTCGATACGAGCGTCGCATCAACAGAGGAGGATGTGGCGCCCGTGCGCGGACGCCGCATGGCCGTCCGATCCAGCAGCACGAGTTCCGCGGGGAGCGGCGCGATGAATTGGCTTGAGCCGGGATTGTACCAGCAACTTCAGGAGCTTCAGACGAGGCTGAACGCCGGATTTGCCGCTGCGGCCGGGGAGGATTCGGAGGGCGGTTCTACTTCAAGAAGGCTTCTGTTCCACCACCACCACCATAACCATAACAAGAACAAGAAGAATAAGAGCAGCAGCAGCAAGAAGAGCAGCAAGAGCAGCAAGAAGGCGTCACCAACCGCCGGTCCGATGGTCGTCAGCCCGTCCCTCGCTGCCAGCGCGACCGTCGGATCCGGATATTCGAAGATCCAGGATGCCGTTGACGCCGCTCCCGGCGGCACGCGATTCGTGATCTACATTCCCGCGGGAACGTACAAGGAGCAGGTGTTGATCGAAACGACCGACATCGTTCTCATTGGTGCGGGCGCGGACAAGACGATAATCACGGGCGACGCGAGTTACGGCAGCGGGTCGGGGACTTTCGAGTCGGCCACAGTCGGCGTAGATAGCGACAGGTAATGCCGCCGTTTATCCTTTCCGGCCTTATCTCTCTCCCCCGTTTCTGCTCTTGTCACTCTCTTCCCTCGTTCTGCCTTATCTCTTTCCCCCCGTTCTGCCCTTGTGTCTCTCCCCCCGTTCTCTCGTCTCCTTTCCCGTGTCATCTTCCTATCTCACGCACGAGTTTCCGCTTTTCTCATGTACTCGCCCACCTGGTAACCACCCAACAGGTTCGTCGCTTTCGGAATCAAATTCGAGAACACCGCAGGCCCCGATAATCACCAGGCAGTTGCGTTTCGCGCCACGGGCGACCAATCCGCCCTATTCGACTGCGCGTTCGATGGATCGCAAGATACGTTGTACGTGGACGCGGGGCGCCAGTACTACAAAAAATGCTACATCGGCGGCTCGCAGGATTTCATTTTCGGCGACGCGGCCGTGGTTATCGACGCGCCGAAGATTCAGCTACACCCGAGCCCGTCGTTCGGGACTCTGACGGCGTCGGGACGGGCCAAGGATACCCCGACGGGGATCGTGATTCGCGATGCTGTTGTCTTGGCGGACAGCGGCACGACCAAGGTGTATCTGGGCCGTCCGTGGAAGAAATGTGCTTTCACAGTTTTCATCAACGCCGATCTCCCCGCGGTAGGCATTCCTTCTTCCTCCCGTTTCTGTCTGCGCGGGTTCCCTTTCCATTTCCGTTTCCGTTTCCGTTACGGTTCCCGTATCCGTCACTCCTCTGAGAGTAGGCTAAGAATCACTCGAAAGCGCGGTTCTAGTGTAGTATCACTCTTCATCCACCTCCGTTAATCGAGATGGGTGGATGGCTATGGTAGAACGAGGGCAAGCCGCATGTTTGCTTAAGTTCCTCCCACCTCCCCACCCGCACCTTCCCACCATCCCATCTCCCATCCCCTGGCAGGTGATCGAGAAGGACGGGTGGCTGTCGTGGAACGAGGGAAGCTGCATGTTTCTGGCGGAGGCGGGAAGCAAGGGGCCTGGTGCCGCATCTTCCCGCGCGGACTGGGTTTTCCCTGGGATTATCACGGACACCACAGAATACGACGCCAACACCTTCACGCAAGTCAACAACTGGCTCAGCTGGTCGGGCTAGTGTTTATCTTAGCATTTTCACCAGCAGCAGTAGCAGCAGCAGCGGCAGCAGCGGCGGTGGCAGCAGAGTTTCAGCAGCGGTTACAGGTAATGAGCACACTTAGTAGGCAATGACTGTAGAGGCGCCAAACCAGTTCAAACAGCGGTACCTCAGCTGGCTGGGCTGGTGTTTATGTTAGCGTTTTCACCAGCAGCAGCAGCAGCAGTTTTCACTATCACCCACTATCAGCCGCGCCAAACCCGCTTAGGAAATCAGAGTTTTCTAGACACAGTTACCAAGTTACTTGTGCTGTTTTGTTTGACTTGTGTAGTACCAAAATAATAATCTGAATTACATGGTCATTGGGACTCCCTCCCTCCTCCCCCCCTTCTTCCCTCCCTCCCTCCTGCTCCTGCTCTCTCCTTGCCCGTGTAAGAAACTACCTTGTGCAACATGCTCTATGCCACAAGCATCATTTGCCTACTCTGTTTGCCTGCTCCGCCTCGCCAGGGCATTCCCCGTTGTAGTTGCCCTGGAGTTGCCATAGCTAAGATGTTTTGAGACGTCTCAAAACTTGCCATAGCTAAGATGTGGCCTGGTCAGCTGTAGCTAAGATGTGGCCTGGTCAGCTGTAGCTAAGATGTGGCCTGGTCAGCTGTAGCTAAGATGTGGCCTGGTCAGCTGTAGCTAAGACGTCCTGGTCAGCTGTTGCTAAGATGTGGCCTGGTCACCCGTAGCTAAGTTGTGGCCTTGTCAGGCAGGCAGAGCAATGAGGCTGATGGTTTGAAGTGATTGAGCTGGGAGTGTAAATGGGTAGATTGAGGAAGCACCCCATGTGGAACGTCTCTAGCTGGCCTGCAGGGGAAAGAGGTGTGCAGCTGTAGAAAAGAGGGATGTGAAGTGAAGCGTGCCACTGTATGCAGTAGTGAAGCGTCATTTAAAGTTGAATAGTTATAAAGCAATGAATGCCAAACACAGGACATGGCAAACTTACACGAACTGCCCTTGAAACTAAACACTCTAAGAGCAACATAACTGAACCAGGTCGTTTCGTTGCGCTTAAGAAATGGAAAAAACAGGGGACTTGCCATGTTCTATGCTTAAAACATCCCTGAAGAAGGTACCAGAACAAAACAATTCAATATTATTATTGAAGTTCCTATTGCCTTGATCCCCTCCGCCTTGTTACTCTCACGCCTTTACAGCCACAGCGAACCTGTTGTCTTTGAAGTGAACCAGTCTGTCTTGTCTTCAGCTTTCAATATTGTCACACCACCTTCTTAGTCACATCACACCCAGAGCTGGCGTTGTCCCCAGGCTTGTTTCAGTCACATCTTCCAGCAGTGGCGGCACCTTGACGTGTATTACAGCCTCATGGAAAAGTGTCCTGACCACAAGCCAACCCATCAATTTGCTTCCTCCATCTGGCTCTTTTATATCATGCTGTGTACAGTCACATGATGATCCAACGGTGCAGCCCTGAGGTCCGTTCGGCACATGGGGCAGGTGGTCGTGGCAGCAAGCCAGTGGTCGATGCAGCTGACGTGGAACCGATGCGCGCAGGGCAAAGCGCGAACCAGCTCCCCTTCGTTACAGTCACTCAAACACACCGTGCACTCCTTGCTCGCCAATGCGAGCCCCCCAGGTTTCCCCTTCCCAGTAGCGCCGCCATGGGAGTGGTCGGCAGGTGGAAGGCAGCGAGGAGAAGGAGCAGGAGGAGGAACGCGTTCAATGGGATATGGTCTGACGGGGAACGATGCGAGCTGCGCTGGGTGCAGCCCGGAAGGGGTGCGTACCGACACTGATATAATCACACTCGATACAGTGTTAGTGTCGTCTGTAGACGAGTGTTCCACGTGGCTTCGAGCAGCACCATGGCGACGCGGGCGTGTCCACTGGAGAAAAGGCATCGCGCGGTGCGAGAAGTCGCTGACTAGGCTTGGGATTCCCAAGGCGCGAGGAAGAGTAAGAAGTAGGTAGTAATAGTGAGGAGAGTTGGTACCACAAGTGCTACTTGGAGTATTAGTAGCGGCCTTAATGGTGCCTGATGGGTCCCTCCAAAGGAACGGGTAAAACTGGAGGGAGGGAGGGACGGTGAGACCTATATACACTCGGAGGACTATGAGTCGACTCAAAAGCAGACTCAGAGTATTAAGACTCAAATTAGTAATGAAGAGCAGCAGACATGCCTCTTCGTTTTGAGATGTCTCCTGAACGAGCAGTCGCAGCGGGATGACTGGAGTGACGTGGACGGTACTTTCGTTGCGAACGAGCGACTTGCTCGGAAGCCACGAGGTCACGAGCGGAGGAGGTGTCATGATCGCTCGCCAGAAGTGGACCTCGCTGCAACTCGTGGCGTCGATTCCTCGTCTACAGACGTCTCAAAACACTTCTTCAATTTTGAGACGTCTCAAAACACTGCTGCAACTCGTAGCGTCGATTCCTCGTCTACAGCACGTCACGTGTGGTGCGGACGAACCTACCCGTTGATAGGGACTTGCTGGCGCCATCGGCTAGTCGCCTGCTTCGCTGGGCGCGTGTGGTGTGGTGTGGTGACGACGATACGAGCGGCCGTCCGAGTTGTCTATCCGTTCAAGCAGCCACCGCCGTCCTAGAGAAAAGTACAGTCTTTCTAGCTTCAAGAAAAAAAACGACCCAGCCTAGGCCCATCATGTGTGCATTGCTGCCCCGCCCGCCCGCATACCTGCCTCGTGGTCGTGTCGCCGTGCACGCGCGCCAAACCGAAGTCCTCCCAACCGAGTCCCAGAGTTTTTCGTTCCCGTTCCAATCACCGCAGCACACCCTCCCCGTCTCAACGGAAGGCTCATCTGCCGACTCGTTACAGCTAGCGAATCATGGCCTCCCACCCACCAAGGGCATTTGCAGAAGGGGCCCAGTAGCCCCCCCGCATCGTACTGTACTCATCTGGCACGCCTTTCTCCCCGTCTATTGGTGCTTCTCCCAGTAACTGCCAGTACGCCAGCGTGTATCCAGCAATCATTGACAGTTACTTCCAGAATGCTTGACGCCGTGCGGTGCGGGGCAATCACCGCCATTGACACCGTAGACAGACACCGTATACAAGCACCGTAGATAGAAAGACAGACTGTACGATCTGTACGCAGCGTGGGATGACAGTATACGATCTGTACTCAGCACTGGTGCCGACCTCGTGGGTGGAAGCAAGTGGGTTGAGACTGTAAGAGCACAAGTAATGTACTGTACAACAGCCAATCGAAGTGCGGGAAAGACGGCGTGGCTAGTGGCTCGGTATGTAAGGCACCTGGCTAAACTGGAAGGGATGCCGTGACGACTAATGCGGTTCGCACACTAGCGTCTCTACATTTGGTACAGAGGGGTGAACTAGCTGTGCGTCTATTCACCACAGCTGGGTGTGAGAACGAGCCTAGTGAAAACCCTACCGTGTTGGGTTGGGCCCCCAACGTGTTTTCGACAAGGTGATGTTGGCTGCTGTTTGCGTGGCATGGTGAACGTTGCCTGGCAAGATCGAGGGTCGACACGACAAAGCCCATAATCGAACCGTCACCGCACAGTAAACCTGTGAAACCTACGAAACCAGCTCTCACCTCTTTCAAAACTATCTCGAGGGTGATGGAAGGAACCTCTTGAGATTGAAAGACACCCCTCAGTGCCTGGGGGTTACAGGGAATCGAAAGTGCACTGTTGTTATGATTTTTACTACACAGAGTGCGTGGAAGACTTTATAAAAATGGTGTGAAGTACGGAATGACTAATATGATAAAGGAACGAGCAATATAGGGTCGAAACCGTGCTAGGCGAGGACCTCGGGACGTGGTTGGGTTGGAAGTTTCGCGATTGGTGCGGGGCGACTCGGTAGTGGTTCGGTCCGAAATGTAGGCCGAACCTGAAATTGACGCGAAGTGTTGTTACAAGTGAAGGATCGTAGTGGATAGGATAACTCTGTCAAGTTTGAGAGAAGACAATGAAGTCTTTGTAATGATCTTGTTAATAAGTTGAAAGAGAACAAGATTAAAGGATAGTGGTACAAAGATATAAATAGCAATCCTAGCTAGCCATGTACTATGAAGGATACATTCTCTTATTAACTGAATTGCATTGCTACAGTAACCACGACTATTGTTATTCTTGACAGTTACCGTGTTGCATCGCGTAACTTCCAAGTGCGGTTACTGGACAAGTCTGTTGTCACTGTTGAGAGATGTAGGTCTCTTACATTTCTGAAATTCCCAGTTAGACTATACAGTATCGAAACAGTACGATAGTGGGTCTATCGAACTTGATGACGTCAGCATTTGGATTCAGCCGACTAGTCAAAGTAGCTCTAGGTCTAGGTCAACAAACAGCCACTTTCATTAGTGTCTACAGGTCAAACACCCCTAGAGTGACGAATAGATACATTCGGCTACAGTATACGAACAGGTACTTTACTCTAGCTATATATTTTGTATGCTTGTCATTTTATAATATACCTGATATCTGATTCCAGAGACATTGATCCTGAAACATATCACTACATGGGCTTTTATTAGTCCAGACAAAGCCTCCTACACTGGCTTTAATTCATACAAGTCTTCCGCAGCCATAACATAGTCTTTAATCCAAGATACTATGATCCTGAAAAGGGCTACGTCCCTTAACCAATTCTACGGGTTTCCAACCCATTCCATCATGGTATGAGAGCAGTTTTGGATTAAGACAACTCTCAACTACGCTTCCAACATACAACAATGGCTGCAGCAGCAGTCAATAATGGTGTACCCGCACAAGACCATCAACAAGCACATCAGCAAACTGCTATGAGCTTCGTCAAAGTGACCAAAACCAAGACGACAACACTATTTGATGGCAAAGATTTCTATACCTGGAGATTTGAATTCGAGCTTCTTGTGAAGGCTGCTGGCATATGGCACCTCTTCGATGGTTCTTCACCATTTCCTGCCAATGACACACCAATGCAACAGCAGAGATTCACGAGTGAGTCACTAACAGCATATACTATTTTGATTCGCAACTTGACAGCCATGGAGCAGCTGGGCATCCGATCGTTTAACACCGGCAACTCACCTGCTGAAGCTGCCTGGAGTTACCTGCAAAACCTCTACATGGGGAGAGATGCAATTTCTCAAAGCAAGATTTTATCCCAGCTCGCCAACATCCAGATGCAGCCAGGCGAGAAAGCGTCAACATACATCAACAGGAGCAGAAATTTAAGGGATCAACTGCTGAAATGCGGCGGCTATTTTCCTAAAGCGATGTTTACTACAGTGCTACTTGCGGGTCTAGGACCGGAATGGAGACAATGCCGAACAGTTCTCCGAATGCAATGAGACTTATCTGAAGGAGCTCTTTGTGCGGCTCTTCTAGCGGAGCAGAATGACTTGGACCTGCACCAATCAAGAAATCCACCATCAGAAATTGCAAGTTTCTACAGCAACAACCGACAACAAAGGATATTTTGCGACAACTGCAAGAAACCTGGGCATACCTCATCAACTTGTCGCTTCAAGATTCAAACTGAGTCACAGTCACCACTTCAGAGTCCAACGCTTCACCAGCACCTTCAGCTAGTACAGCAGCAACTCCAGCAACTTCAGACACAAGTGCAACAGTCTCAACAACCACCACCACCAACTGCAATTCCTGCAAAGACAAACCACAGTGTGGTTAGTTGCATGACTATGCTGCAAACCAAACCTGACAGCTCAAGCAACTGCACTAATACTCTCCCACACAGTTCAACCATACCTGCAAATTCATGGTTTCTTGATTCTTGCTGTGGACAACACATGTGTGGAGCAGACAATTCCTTCATCTTCAACCATCAGCCGCTTCAGTGCCCCTGCATCATTACAACAACAAATAACACAAAGTTAACCGCTCATTCCACTGGCAACATACTGCTGAAATCTACTTCAACTGGCATTATCCTTGAAGTTACTAATATTTTTCTGGTTGAAGGCTTGGCCTTCAATCTCCTTTCAGCTTCTCAGTTGCTGGCCAAGAAGATTCATCTGCAAGGAGATATCAACAGCCATGAGTTTTTACTCAGCAAAGGACAACTACTATTGGGGAAAGCCATTCCTCACAATGGCATACTCCTCTTACAGTTTAGTAGTCTTCAGGTTGAAGAAACACCTCCAGCAGCCACCGAGCTCCAAGAGACATTTCCAGCAGCTGCCACCATGTTCAGCAGTTCTGCAGCAGTCTCAGCTTCACCCGTAGCAACCACAGTCTTCTCTATTGCAACAAAAAATGACTTGCAAGGAAGTCAATTTCCAACTCCAGCTCAGGAAAATTCTGTTAAAGACATGCAGATGGAGGAAATTTCCTTAACTCGCCAACGTCTTCCTGTCTTCGAAACGTCTCCTCCACGCACTCCTGCAATTTCCATAGTCACCATGCTTTTACTGGTAACACTTACAGCAGCTAACACTTTTCTGCTATGTTACCTAGCAGCTCCTCCGTTTCTCTCTGGGGCGATTTTTGGAACTCTGTCACAAGACTGGAGATGTTCCAAGTTTCCCGATGGACCCCTCTGAGCTCCATTAGGACGTCCTCCCTATGGCCATCTGTCAAAATGTTATATTTGTCTAGCCTGCAGTGGGGTACTCAATAGTGAGTACAGCCCAATCTAGGGTTTCCTATATGTACTCAACTGCCTGCTAGTGCAAACCCTCTTTCTCGTTTCTAACTTTCAACTGCTGTTTCCGATATGGTATCAGAGCAGGTCGACCCTCACGGGTCGATCCTGTGTATGGGCCCACCTAAGCTTCCGCTGTCATCACTGCCTATCGCGCGCCTCGGGCGCGCGCTGTCATTCTCTCTGTCGCGCGCCCATGGCGCGCGGCCATTTAGCGCGGCGGTTTTCTGCCCGTCGCACCGCCCTCCAGAGCGCGCGACGCCCTAC